TTCACGTACTAACGAAAATCTTAAGACATTCTTGACAAGCCTTTGATTCATTCAAACGAAAAATGTTTACATATAGCTTACACTTATTAGCAAGCTTGTATTTAACATTTATCAAAAAGATACTGATGTCGTTGAAGTTTCTCATCCTAAATTTAAGAAGAGTTCTCAAAGAAAATATATGACAACTTTATTGTTTAAAAGTAAAGTTACAGCCTATAAATGTCCCACTGCTGGGCAAAGGCCTCCTCGTATCAGGGCATAGTCCACCACGCGGCCCCCCTGCGGATTGGTGGACTTCAAATATCTTCCAACAATATTTTTTTTATAATTTCGAAAATATGCAGGTTTCCTCACGATGTTTTCCTTCATCGCGGAGCACGTGATAAGTCAGCACTTAAAGTTTAAAAAACTTCATTGGTACCGGCAGTCGGCACCGGGGATCGAACTCAGGTTGCTCGAGTATATTGAATTAAAGGCGAGCGCCCGGAAATTGAGCTATCACGGCTTTATTGTATAAACTTAAAAAATTAAACCACAGTAGATATATAGTATAATATTACAGTATAATATTTACACATATCAACATTCTCATATCACGTTAAAAATTCTTATATTTATTGATCAAAAAGTATATTTATGGAATATGCTGTAATGACATAACACTTTTTTAACTATCTCGTTAACGTTTTATTTAAATTTACCAAATTTCGCTGTTGTAAATTTTCCTCTTAGTGACATTGTAGAGTCAAAGGGAAACGGAAAATGTCATTGCGACGCATGACGTATCAAAGCCTGTAAACTTTGTTTTTATATAAACATATCTACGTACCCCTATAGGAATACAGAACCGTCAAACCATATTTATGTCCCTTTTTATTTTTTTAACTGGGCGAAAATACTTACACAAAAGCTTTTATATGACACACTATTAAATAAAAGTAAAAAAGTAATAAAGTAACAGGCCTATACATGTCCCACTGCTGGGCAAAGGCCTCCTCTGTACAGGCATAGGGGCAACATGGGCATAGTATACCACGCGGTCTCACTGCGGATTGGCGGACTTCACATATTTTCGAAATATTTTTTCTATTATTATTTTGAAAATATGCAGATCTCAGCACTTAAAATTAGCGCAAAAATATTAAACTTAACGACAAAATTAAAAAATTATAACGTTTGATTAGTTTCCAATCTTATATATTGATCGCCTGTAATAGAACAACCTTTTTGAACTGTTGAAATAGAACATTTTATAAATATAGCAAATTTTTTTGGTAGCACTTTATTAATAACAACACTGATAATAACATCAAAGAAATAATTTGAAACGCCTTTGCAAATAACAAGCAACATGTAACAAACTTGAAATGAGATAAAAAGGAACGTCTTCTAAGATGAATCAAGTAAGGGCAATTAATTTATATTGATTCAAAATTACAGTAGTATGTTTGGAAGGATGTAAGTGGATAATAATGTAATTGCCCTTGTGAAAAAAAATCTTTTTTGATGTACGTCACTTTGTAAATATAAAAAACTAGAAGTAATTTAACTAAACAAATTACATACGAAGCAAATTATCACACAATAAGCACAGTATCTAATGGAAAAGCAAAAACGGTGTGGTAGTTAAAATTTATCGCCTCTGCAAGAATCGACCCCATGTCTTCCGGATTCTCGCCGCGACGGTTTAAAAGCTAAAGACAGCCAGTTTTAGTAAAAAATAATATTATGTTAATATTTTTTTCAAATGGCTTTCGGCTAAATCTCATTTAATTTATTATACTTAAGGTGTAAATTTAATGAAGGCATACAACATTTACTTTCTTATGAGTACAGAATAAAATCGATTTCACTTCTTTTAGTTCTCTATTTAGTTATCAAAAAATTATAATATATCATTACTGAGCTGCTGATATAAAAGAGTAATATATTTCACCAATACGAAATGATCTTGTATCTTTTCATTCCAGTGACATAATTATTTTGCCATCTCTAAATTAAAAACTAGACGTCCAAATTGAGATGTTTTCGTGGCTTCGCTCTAGGCGGAATCAAAAACAATATTATAGTTTAAAATATCATTTGTTGTTGAATATATATATAATTTCGTTTACACAATATTGGTAATATAATATATTGGTTTTATAAATAAATATCTTTTTCATAACGGCCCGCGATTGGTCGCCATAGTACTTACGTCGAAATATATAATAAAAATTATTTCCAAGACTTTCTTGTTTTAGGACTCTCAAAAGTATGCGCTTGTGCTACTACCAAAATTAATTATTCTCTTATCTATATTACATTGCAAATTAAAATTTTTCTCTTATCTATGTTATCTAAATAATTTGGATTCAAGAGTGGAACCACCCCTTGAGTTGGAATTTTCTAAATTCCTTGCTTGACCCAAGCGACTGGCGCTTACTAACAGACCAAGAGATTGTGATATTTGCTTATAATATTAAATACATTAAAATTTATTGAAACTGTAATATGGTAAAAGAAGAATTTTATATAAATGTTTAAACTTAACTATCACTTATATTATGTAGAGTTTAGTCGTGTGTGTGTGTGTGTAATATATCGTGACAGTGTCATGACACTATCAAAAATATATTATAGAGATAAGGCAGCTATCTGCTTGAAAAGGTGAAACAGGAAAAAATCACACAATTGCTCATAAAGAAAAAAAGTGCAATCGTAACCGCTGCCAGTTTGAGAGACTAATTTCTTTCATTATATCGTCTCATTGATAGAGTAGGCTAAAATGTTCCTGTAATACAAGACAATAGACACGATCCGTATAACTTACAGCACGTGTCATGATTTTGTCTTTGATTGATGTATGTATGTACCTTATTAATCTCCTTGAATTATTGATGAACTGCTTAAAAATAACCGTAAACGTCGTATCATCTAGCACTACGACAACGTGGGACTATTTCCCACACGACCAGACAGACAAACGAATTTTGTAGGTAAAAAACCACCTGGAAGCTTGTGACTGTTTTCTGTTTCCAAAAATTAAGAACCAACTAAGCGGTCTATGATTTTCAACAGCAGAAGAAGCTGTCGAAGAGTATGAAAAACACTTTTAATGATGCCAGTAAACCCTTTTATGTGCCACTGCACAAATGTTTTCTAAATTGGTTTAATCGTATGAAAAGTGAATTTACGCCAAGGGAGAATATTTTGAGAAACAATAAATTCATTTTTGACCTTTAATAGTATTTTTTTCTTATTCATTCCGGAAATTTTTTAAAAATAAACTAGTAATATACAAAATCAACTGTAGCTAATAATAAATGGTATGTGGTATGGTGAAAAATCATAGCTAATAATGGCTGAAAAATTGGTAATTCTTTAATTTGTAAAAATCAACTGTAATTTGGCACATGGGTTTTTCTTGTTCTTTTCCTCTTGCCCTGATCCCACCCGTGTGATCGGCACAACATGTGAATTATGTTGTTAATGTTATAGGTTAGGTTTTTACGACCGCCTGCCTGACGTCAATCCTCCTTGAAACAAACACCCAGATTCGGAACAATTAACTGTGGGTCACACAAACACTTATCCTGCGTGGCAATCGAATCCACGATCCCCGCCGATGGCAATTGTTTTACAAACTTCGCCACATCTCATCTCGTATGTTTTCTCAAGTAGGTACCTATTAGTATAAATTTACCTCAACGAGAAAATTAAAACACGTAACAATCAGTAAAGTTTTTAATAATTTCTACAAATTTATTGAACAAAGCATCGCATGTAAATATATAATAATAACCTTGTAGACCTACTGAAACCAAACGGTTAATTATAATTAATAAAATTTTTGAGCAGTACTTTAGGCGTAACTATATAAACAATCAACACTGATGCTAACACCAAAGAAATAACTTGAAATGTCTTTACAAATAACAAACAACATCTAAGTTGTAATGAGATAAAAGCGAACATCTTTTAAGAATAATCAAGTAAGGGCTAATTCATTTATATGGATTGTAAATAACATTACATGTTTGTAAGAAAGCAGAGAACAATAAAATTACGCTGCCATTATAACAAAACATTTTTTTGATGTACGTGACTTTTTATGCATTCAAAAAAAATACGAATTAGATTAAACATACGAAGCGAATCAGTGTACTACGAAAGGAAAAACTGGTTTCATTGTTATTTTATCAAAATCTTTAGGTCCTATTTTAAAATTCTATACTTTGAAATATATTTTTCGGCGCTTCAAAAGGCGATCTCGTGTTTCGCGTAACTCTGTACACTTGTCTGTAAGAGCTTTTAATTTATGATCCAGTTCGTGTTTGCCGCTGCGAATTTTTAAAATCATATTTATTTCAAATATTTTAAATTTTTGCAGAGCCATGATAGCTCATTGTCTGGACGCTCGCTTTCAGTTCAATATACTGAAGGAATTTGAGTTCAATTCCCGGTGCGGGCACTAATGAATTTATCCAATGCAATTTTAAGTGCTGAACTTATTGCCTGGATATTTTCGAAATACTAATAGAAGAAAAAGTATTACGAAGGTATGTAAAATACGGCAATCCGTAATGACTACGCCGCAATACCCTCTAATATATCTTTGCTTAGCAGTGGGCCATAGGATCTTACTTTTTACGTTATTTTACATTTTATTTTACTTTTTTATTTTTGCGTGTAAGATTTTTGATGGTATTCTCATAATTCTACACTTCTTGTGTTAAGGGAGAATTGGTACCGTTAAAGCAGTGAGACTTGATTTCGGAAGGATTTCCGAAATAAGAAACTATTTGGTAGTAGTCATAGGAGTGCTAATCTATTGTTATGTACTCTAATGTAAAGTATATAAAATGCTTAATTATTATACATAAACAATAGTTCGTTCCCATAAGTTACATAAGTTCCAGTTCATCGTCAGCTTTCACAGTAAATAGGGCGAAAAATAAAAAGACACTACACACCAACATCCTGTAACAGCTATTACATACTAAATAAATGCTTACTTACACAATTTCAAGTATATCTTCAGGTATATCCGGCATAAGAGACATCACTTCCTTTTGTAACTCTTTAACATTTTGTCTCTGCTGACCTTCTTCTATCTCTAGTTTTATGACATTTTGATTGATCATTTCGAATTCGTTCTTGATTTGCTCTTCGTTCTAAGTTTAAAATCATTTAATACTTGCATCGATTTGATCATTGGTATACTGTTATGCTATAAAAAATATACTTCCGTTACTTACATAATAATTACGCGTTTTACGGAAACGATCAGCCTTTTCACGTAAATTTTCTTCATATTTACGTCTGTTTAAAAATTATAATATATAATTTTTAATTAAATTAGAAATCTTAATCCTAATAAATTAATAAATGTAAAATCTAATAAAATGAAACATAGTAACAGTTGTGTCCTACTGCTGGGCAATAATCTCGTCCATAGAGAGCACTTAAAATAATAATATTCCTAAATTGCAAAAGCAAAGGCAACACCACTCGTTCAAATATTCATTGTAAAATGTTAATTGAAACTTGGAATACTGTAAGTGACGCACGCTAAGTGGCGCCAATATTTACAAAAACAATCTAAAATAAAAGTAGATAATTGCCATTATTTATGCCATATAACGACACCGGTCTCTCAGCTCAGTGGTTAAGCGTCTGGGCACGTTCCCCGGCAGACGCAAGTTCGAATCCTGGCGAGGCTGAAAATTTTTCGACATTTTATCTATTCAACCAACTCTTAAGCACCTATACTTACCTAAGCCATGCATTCAAAATGTAATTTAATAATCACACGCAGTTTATTCCTAGGATATGAAAATTTTATAATATTTATGTGGAAAGTGGCAAGTGGCCAGGCGGTGCACCTGACATCTTTAGTGCTTCCCCTATTTGTAATATACGCATCAATACCACTTGTAAGAACGCAAAATTGTTTCCAATCTTTAAAAGAATGGACCCCGATTACCTCACTCAGTGGTGAACAGAAAAGGAACAAAAGTTAATTTAAAAGGAATTTTTCATTTTCAAGTTTATTTATTAGTTTATTACCATCCGGCTCCTGACGTACGCCAGACTATGGTATTTCCTTTCGAGCTTTAATATATGATAATAATAAATATGTAAGGACAAATTTTAACACAACGTTCTTTAATCCCAAACTAAGCTACGCTTGTATAGTACAAGGGTATTAGATAACTAATAAACATACTTTAACGACTATTCAAATAATCGAGATCGCGTGCACAATACATTGCAGAATCTTCAATGAATTTCTTTCACATGACAAAAATTAAACTCTGTAATATTAAAGAAATAAGAAGACAAGATAAACACATTTCCGATTCGATCGCCTGTTCCTCTTCGTTCAGTAAATTTACGAGTTCCATGCGATTTTCACGGGCCTGGACTAAATAATTGGTGATGTTCTCACACTGCTTGGTTAGCTGCATCCGTTTGGCTGTAAGTCTCACTTAAAAAAAATAAAACCAGATTACTTCTGGGGCATTCCACGCGAAGCGGACAGGTAAAAAAAGTTGATGTTTCCGATTTTAGTAATATTTGATTATGTTATACCTATGTGTCCTCCATCCAGATACAAAATATTTTTACAGTATAAAATGTAGTTTACGATTTAGAGAGCTTTAAAAATGTGACTAACCGACAGGTATGCGCCACTTCGAATCCCATTATCCGGTATTGAAAAGATAAATGGAAATAAATTAACTACTTAAGTGTATGCTTAATTTAATGAGCTTTTTAATTCCATTTTTGGATATTAAAATTTTTTTTTTGGACAAAAATCATGTTCAAACTTTTTAAACTTGAATTTCACAAAGTTGGACCACTTTAATTTTTTTATTTTTTTTCTAAAACTAGTTAATAGTGTATAGATAGTCCTTGGAAAGTTTCATAATGGGCCGAGAAGTCCTTTAGAAGCCAGCCCATCACCCGGGCACCGGCGCTACACTTCGACACTGTACGAAGGGAAGCGCCGGTGCCCGGGTCGCGCCTTCTGCCAGCTAACGCGAGCTTACAAAAACATCCAACAGAATATTTTATTTACCTAATTGAGTTTAATAAATCATTTGATCTTATTTAGATGTACTTAAATTTAGAATAAAACGACGTTATTATATTTCGATTGCTTATAAATGTTTATTAAAGAGTGCAGAGTGCAAGAGACATTCTTGAAACCTAGTGTACGCGATCACAGAATCGCAAATTACAATATTGTCCGCCACGACCGGTTAGCAAACCGTCTGGGAGGCACATTAATTTATTATAAACGGTCCTTGCACTGTTGCCCGCTCGACATTCCAGAGCTAAGTCAAATAGAGGCATCCGCGTGTAGGTTAGCGCTCACCGGCCATAGGCCGCTTGTACTAGTTTCAGCCTACCTCTCGGGGCATAGAACCTTACTTCAAAGCGACCTAGATACGCTACTTAACTTAGGCCCTTCCGTGATAATTGCAGGAGATCTAAACTGCAAACATGGGACACCAACAGCATCCCAAATAACAACGGAAAGCATCTCTTTAGCTTATCCGATAACCTAAACTTTAGCATAGTCGCTCCCGCGACTCCTACTAGGTATCCTACGGTGGACAACTACCAACACGCGTCACCGAGTGTCCTAGACATCATGTTATTCAGGGAGGTCTCGCTCGACATCGAGTCGATAGAGACAATCCATGAACTAGACTCAGACCACAGGCCCGTCCTATGTAAACTGGGCCAGAACGCGCGGTCCCTCCGACCAAATCCGTAGTGGACTGGCATCGTCTTGAGGTCAAACTCAAGGCCTTGGACCCCCAGGACTTAGTAGACTTACCCGAGACGATAGCTACGTTCGATGACGCAAATCGAGCGAGAGCAAGTCTCCGAGAAACTATTACTTCCGCAGTCACAGACTCGGAACGGACGGTGAAACTGTCGGGCGACCGACGGTTTAACTTTCCACCTGACCTAAGACTAATTAGACAGAAAAATGCAGCCAAACGCGCCTTCGACCGATACCGATCGGAATCGAACCGAACCCTACTTCGACGCCTTCAGCTAGAATTCAAAGATCGTGTATCGGAACACCGACACACAACGTGGGACACTCTCCTAGATAACATCGAGCCATCGCACACCGCCTACTGGCGGTGGGCCCGCAGTCTGAAAGCAGACCCCCGCGAATCTCTACCGCCGTTAGTTAGACCTAATAGCGCTTCAGTAGCCCTAGATGACTTCGAAAAAGCCGAATGCCTTGCGGACAACCTAGAGCAGCAATGTACGCCATCGCGCGAACACACCGATTCAGTCCACCTAACGGAGGTGGACCGCGTATTCGAGGTGGCTGCGCTTCCACCGGAAGGCGAACCTTTAAATTCAGTGACCCCCCGAAGAGGTCCAAGATATTATTAAAAATTTAAAACCAAAATCCGCCCCGGGCCCAGATAATATAAGTAATAAAATTCTCAAAGCTCTCCCTGGGCCGTTTATCTGTTTACTAGCGACCATTTTCAATACCCTTCTCTCCAGTTGCTCCTTTCCGGACGACTGGAAGCAAGCCACGGTTATCGGCATTCGCAAGCCGAATAAACCAGCTAATCAGCCCTCTAGCTATCGTCCCATCAGCCTCCTCAGGTACCTGGGGAAACTCTACGAGCGGCTCTTGTTAAACAGGCTCAAAGAGCACGTATTTTCCAACGGCCTTCTGCCGACGGAAAAATTCGGCTTTCGAGCTAGACACTCATGTCCCGACCAGTTATACCGCCTAACGGAGCACATCCTAAAAGGCCTAAACCACCCCAAACACATCAGCACAGGGGCTCTCTTCGTCGATGTCGCAAAAGCATTCGACAAAGTCTGGCACAACGACTTGCTTTACAAGCTGTACACACTCAAAGTGCCAGATAGGCTCGTACACACCATCCGGGCCTTTTTGTTAAATCGCTCTTTTCGATATCGAGTCGAGCACCCTCTCCACAAGCCGCCGCCTCACGGCCGGCGTACCACAAGGCTCCTGCCTCTCACCTTTGCTCTTTACGCTCTACACAAGCGACATACCCAAAGACCCCCACGTCAATCTCGCGCTTTTCGCGGATTACACCGCGCTCTTTTATTCAGACCGCAACCTTAACTAATACAACTAACTTAATACTAACCACTCGACTCCAAAGCGCCGCCGACCGCCTCGGCGATTGGTTCCGCAAATGGAGAATAGAAATAAATGCCGAAAAGAGTGTGGCGATTCACTTCACACGAAGTACCTAACCGTCACATCTTTATAATGGCCCTCGCCAATGCAGAAAGTTGGGGCAAATATCCCTTTATGGCCAACCGCTCCCCTGGGAGAAAAAGGTCAAATAATTAGGAGTCACTTTCGACTCGCGTATGTCATTTAACACGCACATTAATAACGTTCGCAATAGAGCCGCGTTCTTCTCCGGCCGGCTATACAATTTAACTAACGCTAAAAGTAAAATGCCCTTAAGGCACAACTTATTATTATATAAGACCTGCGTACGACCTATTATGTCCTACGCATGCATGATCTTCGCCCACACGCACCCTACTCGCTTGTACAAGTTGCAAATAGTACAAAATAAGTTCATCCGCCGCGCAACCGGTGCGCAGTGGTATCAACGCAACGTCGACCTGCACAGCGATTGCAGACTCCCGACGATCTAACGGAGAATTAGAGGCACCTTATGATGAAACGGTGGTAGATTAAAAAAAAATACTATCGATAGATGAAATGTATGTTTCCTAAGTCCATAAATAAATTATTTTGATTTTGACAAACTGTGGTATGTTCGGAAAAGTTGAGATACCTGTCGCTACAATTTTTATTACAATAATGTATCTTAGTTTTTGAATGAATAAATGAATGAATACTTTATTGTCCACCACACAAAAGAGGATACATAAAATTAACAATAGACAAACAAATTAATGGATTCACAATTTGGCGGCCGTATCACTTCATAGCGATCTCTTCCAGGCAACCAATGACGTAAAGGAACTTTACTACGTAGGTTGTGCAATAGTATAGTATATAATGCAGTAGTAGAGTTTAACAGCCTGTACGGTAAAAGATTTTTCAAAATATTATGTTTTGTGGTTTGGCACCTTTAAAATGAGCTTCCTCGAAGAATGTAGGATCTTCCCCTAGAAGCCCTACAAATTCAAATTTCTCCTTTAAATAAAGTGGAGTAGAAACATGAAATAGAACACAGTAGGTACACAACATAGAAAGAATATACAAATTCCGGCGAAGTAGGATGGGAAATCACTTGAGTATCTTTTCAATACCGGATAATGGGATTCGCAGTGGCGCATACCTGCCGGTTAGTCACAGCTTTTTTAAAGCAAAAAACTCTCTAAATCGTAAACTACATTTTATACTGTAAAAATATTTTGTATCTGGATTGAGGACACATATAGGTATAACATAATCAAATATTACTAAAAACAGAAACATCAACTTTTTTTACCTGTCCGCTTCGCGTGGAATGCCCCTTCTATTAATAAGATCTAATAGTAATAATATTTCTGAAGTTGTACTTCTTTTGGCGCTTCTTCGTATTCGTATTTCGTACTTCTTTTGGCGCGTTTGGAAACATTTATACAACATTTATTTTGACAAAAGCGAATGGTCAAGTGGGTTGCAAAGAGTCTCGAGTTTCCTCGAGTTTTCTCGAGTGTCCTCGAGTTTTTGATATCTTTATATATAAAGATTTCGTGTCACGATGTATGTTAGCGATAAAACTGAACCAATTTTTATCAAATTTTGTAAGCATTTGTAATTTGGTCCAACTTCGTCGATTTTAATCTCAAATATTGATCTCAATATTTATTGCAAATTATTTGTTTATTAGATGACAAAGAGCTATCTGTGTGTCCCATAAGATTCTAACAAAGGTCGATGTAAGATAAATTTATGGGCTGGATTGAGTAAGTATCCGATAGATGGCGCTATGCTAAAAGTAGAAACGTATGGACCTGTTAGATTTGGCGCAGACGAAGTTGCGCGGGCCAGCTAGTTTATTTATAATTCCAAGTTATTTAATTAAACCTTATCAATTGCATTTAATTTCCTTTTCACTAACAAACATTACTGGCAAAAGTAATCTTTGTTAGTATACTTTGTAAAGATTACTGGCAAAACTTTGAAGGCTAACAATTATCTTAGCCCTCAAATTTTTATTGTTGGACACTAGCGACCCTCCCCACGGGTACAATTATACATATGAACCTTCCTCTTGAATCACTCTATCTAGTAAAAAACCGCACCAAGATCCGTTGTATACTTTTAAAGATCTAAGCATACATAGGGACGACTTTGTTTTATACTGTGTAGTGATGCACAGCAAAGAGATGTTTAAATTTCAAGTGACCACGGGTAACAGTCACTCACTTGCTTTGCCTTCCTGGAACCCCTCCACTAACACTTAAACTT